CGCTTGGGAAAGAAGAGTCACCAGACATGGTTCTGGGATCTTAGCAGAGGACGGCGTGTGCTTCTCCCTTGCTCGTGCCCAGAGGGTCATGGCCGTGGTGGGCAGACGGCCTGCTTGTGCTTTTCCCCTCCTGCTTTCCTCCAGATTGCTTACGCTCTTGCTGCGGCAGGTCCTAGCCGGTCTCTTATGACGTGGACTCCTGTTCCTGGGGCTGCTATGTCGTGGCTGCAGACAATGCCTAACTTCTAGCCACTTTACTGGATGAAAACGGGTCTCCAGCCGGCTGTCACTCCGAGAGGCCATGGGCACCACTCCAGATGGGCCCAGATGACTACATTCTAGCCCTTCCTGTGACTTCTTGTGGGGCGGAACACCGACTATTTTCTCACATCAAGGCCCTCACCTCCTCGCCCCATTCATGTGTTAGCAGTTCGAAAGGAAGCAGGCAAAGTCATCCCCAAGCAGCCGGAGAGGCTTGGAGGCCTGGGCCCACCCAGTCTGGAGCCACTGGGAGAGGGAGACGGGCCCCTAGGGACACACGCTGAAAGGAGAAGACCTCCCCGAGGAAAGGATTTGGTCAGGAAGGACTTGGGATAACTCAGTTCTTAGGAAATTAAGTAGCAAAGAGCAGAGTCCTGTTTGGCCTCCATGTACGGTCTCAGAAGTCGGGAACAAGATTGAAAGGGTCACGATCAATTCTGGAGCCTCTGACACCACCCACGTTGACCAGCCTGGCTTGCTCTCTGGATCAGGAGGCTGTCAAGTTTTCACTCACTCAACAAACAGGCGCTAAGTAGATACTGTGGATACCCAGTGACCCAGAGAGATGATGGGCAGAATGGGTACCTACCACCCTCTGGATGGGAACCCCAGACAGAATGGGTACCTCTCAGCCTTCACTCCCGTGTGCACCTGCTGCCTCCCAGCCTTCTCGAAGGCACCCAGCCTCTCCACCTTGGTCTGGCTCATCCTGCTAAGCCCGGGGTGCCTGTTCTGCACCAGACCTTCAGCCACGGGAGCGACAGGGCCTACGATTGGGGTGACAGCCGCCGGGCCCTCCAGGGTGGGTGGGGAGCGACTGTGGCGTGTGGCCAGATGATGAACTGTAGCCAGGGTGCCCGGCGGGGCTCACCTGCTGCTGGGGGGCTTTGCCGATGTTGACTCGTGATGCCCCAGCCAACGGTTCCCACCTGGCCTGACGTGAGTAGCGTGGAAGTTTCTCTGCTCTCAGCCCCAGCTGTCTTTTGGGGGTGAGGACGGTGTTGGGCACACACAGGTCTGTCCAAGGGCGCTTTCCATGTAGGGCTCGACTCGAACTAAAGGAAGGCGAACAGATTGGGAGGAAACATAACAGGGTTCTCTGTGGAGTAAGGCAGATGTGTGCACATAAACACACCTGTTCCAGGGAGCACAAGGTGGTGAAGAGCTGAGCAAGGTAACTAGAACAAGACGGAAGATGCTATTATGTCAGTCACAGAAAGCAAAATCGTTGGCAAATCAGCCACCTCTCTGGGCCAAAGCGTTCTGTCGGAAAGAAAGTTTTCCCAGGGGTGTGCGCATGAGCGTGCCTTAGAGAAGCAGCCTGGGGCTTTGAGGCTGCAGCTAGCGGTTGGGCTGTGGGGACTTCATCCCCTGGGGACACTTGACAACATCTGGAGGTATTTTTGGTTGTCTCGTTGGGAGAGGTGTTGCTGGCATCGAGTGGGTAGAAGCTGGGGCACTGCTAAACATCCTGCAATGTGTGGGACGGCATCTCCTCCAACAATCTGTGGCTCCCACGTCTCACCACCAGCGTGGAAGGCGAGAAGCCCTGTGCCAGAGGAGCAGGGCTCAGACCTGCATTTTACGCAGTGTGGGACCTTGGGAGAGCCACGTACTTCCTCATCTGAGAAATGGGCACAGTAAGACCTGAGCTGCTCGTCACACAACTTCATGAGACTCAATCCCCAACGGTCCGGGAAAGCTTTTTTCACACTGCAAAGGGCTCTTTCCTGAGCTTTTCTTAGTTTGAAAACTGCAGGTGACTAAAGCATCTGGCATGGTCACTGGCATGTAGTAGATGCTCAATAAATTAGAGAAAATCATCACAGTAAAAACAGAAAAGGCCCATTTCGCCTCTCTGTCCTATGTCCTCCCTATCTCAAGGGCCATCTTTTTTTTTTTCTCTTTTTCTTTTTGCCTATCCATTCTATTAAATTCTCTACCAGTAGAGGGTAGTGGTGTTAGCAGAGGCCGCATGGAAAGCACCTTTGAATGATCAGGGATAGGAATCACCATATACCCTGACGATGGAAGACACAAGAGACTGGGAAGTTTTGTCAAATCAAGGGAAGGCCCCAGTCCCATGCAGGAGTCCTGTACTTTCCGCTCACGTGGGGCAAGATCCAGATGGCAGCCGCCCCAGGGTCTCAGCCCTCAGCTTCCTCTGCTCACCGGAGGTCAGCCCACCCAAGGAGCTGTGCAAGTTGTTGGCATTCAGCCTACAGAAGCTGGACCCAGAGTGAGCTACTTGGTGGTGCTGCTGGTGGTGTCAAGAGGGCCATTTCCTCTGTGCTCCTCTGGGAGGCCCTCTGATGTTACCAGCCCTGTGGAAGCTGCCATGTGGGGACCAAGGGCACGATACACCCATTAACTTGCCATCCATCTGAGGATGCCAGATGTACCCTTGAGATCTGATGAGAGAGAGAATGCTTCACGGTGTGTGTGCAAATGCTGGAACAGAGGGCAGATGTAGTAAAGACTGTGAAACCCAGGGGCAGAGCAGAGTGGTCTGGAGCTTGGGCAGAGGCTTGAAGCTTAGTGCTTCAAGATCCTTAGCAATCTTTGCACTACTGTCCTGTCCCAGGCCTCTCAGGGCTGGAGGGGTCAGGCGCCATCTTGTCCAAACCTCTAAAGGGCATGGGGAGACAGGCCAGAGGGGAGGTGCCCTCCCTCGGCAGCCAGAGCTCCTCCCACTACACAGCATTGCTTCCTCGTGGTCTCCCACCCCCTTGTTTCTACGAACAAAGTGGGAACACCCCGTCTTGGCACCTGGGGAAACAGGCAGAAAGGCAGGCCTGGTGCCAGGCTTCAGTGACTTGGCGCTTCTAATCTGGACCCTCCCACATGTTAGGGCTGGGGAGGAACTGGCCCTTCTCTGGGTCAGAAGAGGGGAAGGGGATACAGCAGGCCAGCTTCTCTGGGAGGGAGGGCAGAAGAAGCCTTTGGGGAGAACTCTTAGGAGCTGGTCCCTTCCCTAAGGCCTCCTCCCTTGGCCCCAGAGGGGTCCACTCTCCCCACCAGGGGTGATCTTTTTCCCTGACTGCCATTTGCCCACTTGTGTCTCATACTGTCAAGGTGACGGCCCTGAGCAGAGGGGACACCCTCCACTGTGTGGTTTACAACTTCCCTTTCCTTCCCCTCCAGGACAAGCACGTGCCACAATGCCAGCACTTCCCAGGAAATATTTAATCCTCAGAAAAGCTCAAGGAGGTGGGTCAGGGCCCCCTGCCCTCCCCACCCCCCCACACTTGAAGCTAGCCTCAGGATGAAGAGAGGAGCCCCTGGGAAGCAGGCTCACCCTTCCTTTCCTCCCCCACTGCCAGAGGCCAGGTTCTTCCCCCACAACCCCATCACACCATCCCACCTCCTGGTTCACTTCTAGGGCCCCAGTGACCTCCCCCAACCCCACACATAGGCCCCTCCTCCAGGTGCTGCGGGTGCCTCAGGGTTTTGCAGAAGGAAAGACACAAAGACAAAGTTTGGTTCAGAAGAGGCTGGAAGAGGCCGCCTGGTGTTGCTTCCACTGGGTCATGTGGCCCCTCGGCTCCCTGGTGGCTGTGATCCCCCAGCTGTAGGCTCGCAGAGCCTGCAGTCTGGCAATTTCTGTTGTCCGCTCAAGAAATTTCTCCTCAACTCGTAATCTCAGGAAACAAACTGAGGGTTGCTAGGGGTAGGGAAGGATGGGGGTGGCTGGGTGATGGACATTGGGGAGGGTATGTGTTATGGTGAGTGCTGTGAATTGTATAGGACTGATGGATCACAGACCTGTACCCCTGAAACAAATAATACACTATATGTTAATAAAAAAAATAAAAAAATAAAGAAATCTCTCCTCTGACCCCTCTGGTCACACAAGTGGGGAGGGGCGATGGGTGACTTTAGGCTGCTCTCCTTGGCCTGGTGTTGTGGCAATTACACCAGGCCTCTTTGGGGAGGTGAAATCTTCTAGATCCAGCCTGACTTTTGTCAGGAGGCAAAGGCTGGTTTTCGGCTGAAATGTAACTAGAGAAGGCACAAAAGTCCTGGCTGGTGAAGGGGCCTGATGGCTATCTTGGGAGGAAGCGGGGAGGGAGGTGGGAAAGGACAAAGGCCCTTGTCTGCAGGGCTTAATCTCCCATACCACTCAAACCTCCCACCCTCGGCCAAGCTCTGTCTCCCTGTCCTGGGCTGCCGACCAAGGCACTTTATTAAAGGGAGGGAGCAGCCTCAGGCAAAGGCACAAGAAGCAGCCCCATATGTGTTTGCAGTGGGTGACAGCCAAGGAGGTCCGGACCGCTGGAGTGGAGTCTGCTGAGATGGTGGGAGGGAGGGGAAGGAGACCTCAGTGTGAGGGCTCTCAGAACGGCAGGGTCAGATTCTGCCCCTGGCTGAGGGGAGGCTCGGCCCTCATTTCGTTCCAGGTCTGGTATAGGAGCCTGCGGAAACCGGGCCAGGAAGGCCATAGCAGCCGGAGCCCTAAGCTGTCCTCGCTGCACCTTCTTCCTTGAGTGCCGAGCCTAGGTCAAGACTGGCTCCCTGGCCCAGAGTCCCATCCGTTCTCTTCCTTTATATCCCACCAAACCTCTTGGGGGATCAGGAGCACCAGGAAGCCCAGGGAAGGAGAAGTCGGGGAGCTGGGGTGCCCTGGAGACCCCATCACATTAGGCATGAAGACACGGGCTCACCCCATCTGGGGACCTGCAGGGCAAGGCTGGCCCAGTGGAGGGAGGGGGTCTGGCATAAAGGAGAGCAGACACGAGTCAAGCTTCCACTTCATGTAAACAAGAAGGAGTGTCCCCTGCCTGGCCAGCGACAGTCTTGCAGGGGTGTGCAGTCGTCTTGAGATGCTGCCAACTCTCACGTCTCGGATCGAGGGTCCCTGAGGCCAGGATGGAGGCTGTTGGGCAGGAAGCAAGTGAGAGTCCGGAGTGCAAACTGGTGCAGGGCTTGACCTGAATTCTCCACAGGGCAGGGCCGGGGGGCACCCATAGGTCCTCCCCACCACTGGCCCACAGCTCAGGAAATCACGCAATTTCTGGCCTTGGCGGGACTGGCACTTGTTTTACCTGCAGAGACAACTGACACAGGCAAGGAAGACGTAAGTGAAGTGCTCAGTGGACTCGCCTCTCCCCCCTCTCCTGTGTTCTGCCCCCACCTCAGATTTAGGGGCTGGGCTCACGGTCTCCCCCGCTAGCTGCTGATCTGGGGTCAGTAGGGCCCCCAGGGAAGCAAGAGGAAATGTTCTCCCTGTCTTGTCCTCTCTGCAAGACAGTCACTGTTTGGGGTACCAAGGGATCTGCTGCCTCCTGACCTCAGCAGCATCAGCAGGGAAGGATCCAGAACCCCAATCTACAACTATGATCAATGACTTAAAAAGTCTTTCCAAGAGGTGGCTTCCCAGTAGCCCAGACTGTGTGCAGCTGCCCTCACTGCTTACCAAGCACAACAGATATTCTCAGCTAATCCCCAGGGCAGCGGCTGCACCGTGAGATGGTGCCACCAGCCCTGCTGCACAGCTGAGGGCGGCGGGCCCACCGGCTCCCTGAGCCTGTCAACACCAGCACCAGCCTCGGCTCCTTCCCCAACACAGGGACCCTGGGAAGGGGTCACCTGGGTCAGGAGGCTGATGGCGAGCCAGGCAGTGCGGCTCAGACTACATGCTTTTGGGGGTGGTTTTAAGACAGAGGAGGGAGGGAGCATGCTTCATGGAGGGGAAAGGTTGGGGAGAGAAAGCTGTTCTCCAGGCCAGAGGAGCACGCTTCCCCTCTTCCCAGGCCCCTTCCATCCATTTCCATTCTTTCAAGTGGAGGCCAGTGGCTTCTTTGGCTGGATTTCTGCTCTGGGAGCTGCAGAGAGAAGGGGGCAGGGGGAGCTGAGAGGCAGACACTGACATTTCTGGCCCTCCAGGTGTCAGGTTGCTGGGCCTCCGTCCTCCTGGGCACGGGCTGCCCTTCTCCCAGGTGCCAGCCGCTGCGCTCCTTCCTGCCAGCCCCTCTCCGCACAAGGGTCACCTCCCTGGCGCCCACACCCTTTCCCACATCACTCCAGCTGCCAGTTTAATTATTGCGGCCGCTGCCTCCTCTCCTGGACCACCAGTAAGGGAGACACTGAACAGGCTCCAGTGGAGGCCTCCCTACCCCCCCCAAGCTCTGCTCGCCACCACCCTGTCTGGGCAGACTGAACTCGCTCGGAATACGAGCCCAGCTAGGCCTCCCTGGAGGCCAAGTTTGATGCTTGTGAGGCTTAGAGAAGGTGGGAGGAAGGTGGATGACTGTGCCACTCCCTTCCCCGAGAGCTCCAAGGGTCAAGGAACCTGGGTCGCCTTTGCGGGGGAGGGCGAGGGTGGGGGCGGGCTGCCTCTGACGCAGCTCTGCTGAGGACTGTGCTGTCCCACAGTCCCCTCACAACTACCACGGACACAGCCATCCCCAGTGTCTCTCCTTAGCGGCTTCTTTTATTTGCTTGGCCTCCTGAGCAGATGTGGCGTTCCTCCCGGGAGGCGGCAGCATTCTGGAGTCAGGGAAGCAGATCAATTTCTGCAACCCGAGGCAGGGGAAGGAGTGTGGCTCCAGGGTGGGAAGAGTGGGTCTGCATCCTGAGCCTGCGCTGCGCCCCGGCTCCTATCCCCCTGCCCGGGGAAGTTGGGGGAGGCGGGGGTGAGAGCCCACAGGTTTGCCAGGTTGCGTCCCCCACTCTTTCCATCCGGCCAGGAAAGCCTGCGGAGACTGGACTCAGGATTCATCCCTGTGCCTCCAACGGAGAGATGGTTTGAGGACAAATTCTTTGTGTGCCATCATTCCCTCCGTGCGCACTGACTGTGAGTCTAGCGTGTGTAGGTGTTTGGCAGGACTGAGGAGAATCAGACCTGCTCAGGTTAACAGGGAAGAATACATAAAAATGGCTTTTCTTTTCTTTCTTCTTCTTCTTCTTTTTTTTTTTTTTTTTTTTTTTTTACAAAGTATGGGCAGCCCAGGGAAGATATGAGGAAAGGCCAAACCCCAAAGGGAGCTAACACTGAAGTGAGACCCCGTGTCGTCGGGGAGGTCGCTGGTGGAGGTGCCTGGGGCATCAGGGCAAGGACGCCGATTGGGATGCCAGACTCTGACCATGGGCTCTACAGCCCCAGGGGTTTCAGGACTTCATATTACCCTTTTCTGGAAGATTCTTCCTCTGGATGGCTACACAGTGTTCTCCCTCCCTTCACTCAAGTTGCTGTTCAAATGGCCCTTTGTCCCTTCATCAGACAGGCCTTCCTGATCACCCTTTATCAAAGGGTCATTGCCCGCCCTGCCCTTCTGTTTCCAGCCTGGTATTCACTCTGTAAGAGCAGGGGCTTTGCTTGTTTTGTTTGCTGTTGTACCAGGAACTTAGAACAGTGCCTGGCACAGGGCAAACAGTGCACAGATATTTCTTGAGTGAAATGGGTGCCCAGGCAGTGGTAAGCCACTCACAGGTTCGTACCAATCCTCACAACAGCAGCAGCAGCCATAGGTCTCAACTGGGTGACGTACACGCCCTCACTCACCTGGACGGTGAGGAAAGCCCTGGCGAGGCCCAAGGGAAACCGGAAGGGCAGAGGGATCATGATGTATGACGGTGAGAATAAGGACGCTGTCCTCTTTTCTAGAACTGGGTGGGATCAGTTCCCTCGAAGGATGCTCACTCGACTCCCCTCACCTTGCCTTGCGGTCGGGACCCTGACTGGTAATAGTGCTTGGCTTTAGCAAGTCAGACTCCAAACACCAGCCGGGGCACGACCCGTGATGCGCAGGAGCGACACTGAATTCCGAAACTCTGTCTTGACAAGACAGCTCTTGAGTAGACTTATCCTGGAACTGGAGGCCCACAGGTCCCCTAAGAAGCTCTGAACCCCAGGAGCATTTCCCCAACCTTCCATCCCAGACAGGGGCCCAGATTTCCAAGAGAGATTTGAGAAATCCAGCCCCCAGGGATGACACAGGTGAGCCTGAAGTCCCAAATCCAGGAGCCCAGTGGCCACAGCACTAAGAGACAGACCACATTGTCAGTTAAGATGGCTCCCCCATGCATGAATCAGGGAACCCAGGAAAGTTCTGGAAATGCAATGTCACTGTAGTCACCTCCGAGAACTCTGGGAAGAAAAGTATGGGCCCAGAGGACCTTGGTAGGTCATGACCCAGAGGTACTCTGGGGTGTTAATGGCCACTCTCTTCTTCCTCTCCACTAATGGGATATCAGGGGGAGAATCCATTGGTAAGAAACCTCTAGACCTTCCAAACAGTCTTCAAAGATGTAGGAAAGTAGCACTAACCCTAAGTTCTAGAGATAACCACAGTGCTTTGTGCAGGGTCCTGGGAGGCAAGAGACCATGCTGCCCTATTTCCCTGGACACAGAATCTTGCCTCTCTGCACCTATCTGTGAATGATGTCATCCAGCAGGGTGGTTGTGAGTTCTGTGTGACAGCAACTAGCATGGGTCCACCTGGCACCTGGTCAGGGAATGTCTGTGCCTTTCTTCCTTCCCTTGACCATGGTCAAGAGTGTTGGCCATTTCCCAGTGATCTTCCTGGGGGGACGGGGAGGGGCTCTGGGACATCATCTGGAACTTCCTTCCCTCAGCCTGGCAGCCCCATGACGGCAGGCCCTTATCCGAGAGTCATCATAATCCACGGCTCTGGGACCCCATACATGGGAAACACTCGGCACACTTGTTTAAAAGGCAGATTCCTGAACCCAGCCCAACGGTAGAGACTCCTCACTGAGTTTTAACAAGGCTTTCCAGTGAATGCTGCTCCCTGAGATTGGGATCTCTGTGCCAGAGGACCCTCTTAGCTCCTGTCAGGCTTGGGAAGTCTGTAAGTGCACCCACCGCAGATACAAGGTCCCAGTTGAGAGAAAAACCAGAAGGGAAAGGAGCTCAGCTTCCACCAGTAGAGGGTGCAGTGAGCCTTCAAACCACCAGGGGACCACCCCCCACCTCCCCACCAACCCTGACAAGACACCCACCTCCCATCCCCAGCTAAAGGAAGGGATTTCCGAAGGTCCTCCAAAGGGCCACACTTGGACCAGCAAACATTTGCATGCTGCTTGACAACTATATACTTCTTATCGAGCAATTTCACAGGCTGCCAGCACTTAGCTTTTCTATTTTTCTCTTCCACCCACCCTATCCATCAGCCCAGGCTCTCCCTTGACAAGAGGGGGGCAGGGAGAGAGAGGACAGAGTCAGAATCAGGAGCTCAAAGGGACCTCAGAAACCCTCCCTAGCTCAGCTCCTCCTCTTCTCGAACAGGAAACAGCCTTGGGAGCAGGAAGGATGGGTCCAGGGTACGGGGAGCAAAGTGCTGGGGGGTGAGGTCCCACATGATGTCTGTTCTGATGATGTTCTGAATGTTCCCTGTAAGAAAAGGATCTTTTCCCTAGATGAGGGCCCTAAGCTAGTAGTTAAAGTGATTTCCTCCCAGATGACAGTTCCAAGAGTACTGGAACTGCTAGTTCCAACCTTGGGGGCCCCATGTAGTCAGGAATGTGACCCTCTGTCTGTCACACAGAGTCGTGGCGACTTAGCTTCTGCCTGAGATGAGACACCAGGACAGCCCAGCTGCTGTCATACGTTTGGGAAGCTGGAGGCCGAGAGAAGGGCTTGTAGGGAGAGGGGTCCTGCTTCTTGTCCCTTCCCTTGGAGGGAAGCAAGCGGCAGGGAGAAGAAAGGGCTCATTAGCAGCCTGACTATGAGGCCCTGGGGAACGGGAGGCCCAGCCCTAAGGCCACTCTGTGTTTCTTCTAAAGGTTGGGGAAGGAATAGGGTGATCCCGCTGGGTCTCCCGGGGACTTCCTTACTTTACGTGCTGGGGCATCAGGCACTCGGAAGAGGAGCATCCCTGGGGTGCAGCCCCACGTGCTTGGCTGGCTCCAAAGACATGCGGAGGGCGGAGGCAGGGGTGGTGACCAGCCGTGTCCTCCAAGCAGGGAACTGGCTGCTGAGAGACTTCCGGGAAGGTGGTAGGAAGGGACAAGACAATGGGCCTTTCGTTTCTATGGAAACACTTCAGGGTGAGGGGCTGAAGGGAGCGAGAGCTCCCACTTCCTCCACAGTCAGGACTTGGGCAATGGCCCTTTTTGTGGTCGGGCCCGCCCCTCCCTCACCCTGCCCTGCCAGGTGTTCACCATGGCAACCCTTCCTCCCAGCAAGAGGGGTAAGTGGCAGAGCACCAGGTGCTGGGGGAGCCAGGGAGCCCTGTGGGAACTCGACTGGGGGCCACCACCCCTCCCTGAGAGGTCACGGGTTAGAGTCCCAACCCCACCACCACTTCCTGTGTCCTGAGACCACCAAGTGCACCTCTCTGAGCTCCTACCAGCCACCTCTGTGGTGGTGGTGAGGAAAAAGTGAGAGAGAAAGCATCTCGTGAAGGGCCTGGCACATGGAAGTGCCCAAGAGACGCTTCCCGGCCCAATGGAGGTATGGCCCTGGCACCCCTGTGTCCCAGATTCAGAGACTCCCAGGCCTGTCCTAACCTGGACAAGCACAGGCGGAGCGCGCCAGTTTCCGGGGCCGGCTGGGCAGGCAGCGCAGGGGAAGGTGGTTGTGACCCTTGCTATCGAGCCATTATCAGGTCAAAGCTAGGGCTGTGGGGGTCAATGGAGATCTGGAAGCACTCAGATACCCCAGCAGCACCTGCCTGGCCGGGGGAGGCCGGTCGAACCAGGGCTGAGCCTCACAGCCACGAGAGAAATCCCTGCACGGAGACTCCTTCCACTCGGAGGTCCTACCATGAGGAAAGGCCCCGGAAGCAGCCCCGGCTGTCACCACCCGCCTTCAGAAATGACTGCTCCGGAGAAAGAGACAGAGGCCCAGACCTCTAGGGAGTCCCAGAGAGACAGCCAGAAAGATGCCACCACCAGGAACACGCTCTCCCGAAAGTAAGCAGCAGGGCAAACACCACTTATCAAATAAACACAGGGAAGAAGCAAGTCACGCTATTTACAACAGAAATGAGGAAAGTGGGTCAGGGCGTGGGTGGGGTTCAGGTGAGGGTGGGGTATGTTTGAGCCAGGTGGACTGTGATGACAGGTGATGTGGCAAGGAACAGGTTTTCTAGAACGAGCCCTCGACTCAGAGGCAGAGGTCAAGCCTGGGTCAGGCCACTCAGCTGCTCTGTGTCTGTTTCTTTACTGACAAAGGAGAAAGTTTCCAGGCCTCTGGTGGCAGGAACCAGAGCTCTCAGATGACTCCATGTCCAGCACTGTTCTGAGCACCTTATAGCCTCAGAACAGCTGAGCAAGGCAGGTACCCTTCTCCTCTTTATTTTTAAGATTTATTTATTGCAGAGAGAGAACGAGAGAGAGAGAGCAGGAGAGGGGGAGAGGGAGAGAGAGAGAATCTTAATCAGGTTCCACGCCCAGCAGAGCCCCACTTGGGAGCTCGCTCTCAAGACCCTGAGATCATGATCTGATCTGAGCTCAAATCGAAGAGTCAGACACTTCAGCCAATGGAGCCACCCAGGCGGCCCGTCCTTCTCTCCTCTTAGAGAAGAGGAAGTGAACTTGGACCTGCCGGAGCAGGATGGGAACTGAGGGCCTGTGGATCTCAGGGCTCTGGCTCTCTGCACGCCAGCAGGCAGCCTTTCTGCAGACAGGAGGCAGTGCTCCGGGATGAGGACAGTCAGCCTGGGGGCACGGGGCCGTGGGTGGAGGGAGGGCTCACCTGAGATGTCAGCACTGGAGCCCTCTTTGGGCCTCTTCGCCGTCACAAACTGCACCTCTGTGAAGGTCTCAGTGGAGAGGGAGCTGCTCACGCCGTTGGGTGCCATGGGACTCTTGGACCGCCGGCTGAAGAGCCTCCTGCTGAAGCGCCTGCTGTCCTCCCTGTTGGCAGCCTCTCCCTTGCCGTTCCGGACCAGCACCTCCGGGGGTCTGGGCTTCAGGTCCACGTGCAGGTGAGAGACCACCCGGCCGCCCTTCCGAGCCAGCTCTCTGGAGGGCATGGGCTCCACGGGGGGGCAGCACCTGCTCCAGCGTGACCAGGTCGTTCAGGAAGCTCTCCAGGCGCCGGGCCGCCTCCCCGCCGCTGCCCGCCTCCTGCTGCTCCTTGGGGTCGCCGCCGGCCTCCCGCTGCTGCCGGACGGCCCAGCGCATCATCTCCCCCGGGGGCTGGCGGCTGCCTGACACCAGGGCGTACTTGGGGTTGATGAGCCTGCGAGCCACGGTGGAGGAGTGGTTAGGGCTCAGCCTCCCGGCACCCTCCGCCAGGTTCAGCTGCTGGTACAAGTTCACCTCCTCAGAGATGGCATACAGCTCCCGGAACAACAGGTCGAAGGGCTCCACGTTCTGCCCTGTGAGGAGGAGGAGAAGGTTCCTGTCCACGTAGGAGGAGCTCCAGGTGAACCTGGGAACGTGGGGACAGAGAAGCATGACACGTAGGCCCAGCCTGAGGCAGCCCCTGGCCATCCCAGCTCCACAGCCCGCTGCCCCCACCCCAACCTCATCTCTCACAGAGGCCGGAGGCCTTGCTGCCTGGTGGAAGGGGCCTCCTGGTCCCACTTCCTCCCTGTTTCTCAGGTCTTGGCCTCAAATTCAGAAAGCAGGCGAGGGCATGAGAAGGCAGGCCTGGATTCCCACCTGGTTTCTACCTTTGGAGGCCTTGAAAAGTGGGGCTCAAGGAGCACACAGCCACAAAAGTGGGGTGAGGCTCACGTGCGACACCAATATTTTAGCTCCGTACATGGCACACACACACACTGGGGATGGGGCTGCTATTACTGTTTCTTTTTTTGTTTTTTTTTTTTTTAAGATTTTATTTATTTAGTTGAGAGAGAAAGTGCACACAAGCTCGGGGGAGGGGCAGAAGGGCAGAAGCAGGCTCCCCGCTGAGCAGAGAGCCTGATGCGGGGCTCCATCCAGGACCCCAGGATCATGACCGGAGCCAAAGGCAGATGCTTAACCCACTGAGCCACCAGGCGCCCCCGCTGTTACTGCTAATACGGCTCTTCTCGGAGTCTTTGGATCACTCAGTGTCTGCAAATCCTGCACTTCAGCCACGTCCGAGGACTGTGGCCACTTACTGATTGTTTCCCGGCCCGGTCTCTCGCCTCACCGGGATATCAGTTTTCTTGGAGGGCAGAGACTGCCGAGATGGACTTTCTCATATTCCTGGTAACTGACTTCCGAACTGGAATTGGGACACATTTCTTTCACACCACTTCCTTACATTTCTTTCTTTTTTTTTTTTTTGGCATATGAAAATTTATTTCTGTCATGTTGTCACCATCAAAACTTAGGAACTTGGCTTTCCTTCTTGCTTTTTTTTTTTTTTTTTTAAGATTTTATTTATTTATTTGACAGACAGAGATCACAAGTAGGCAGAGAGGCAGGCAGAGAGAGAGGTGGAGGCAGGCTTCCTGCGGAGCAGAGAGCCCGATGCCGGGCTCGATCCCAGGACCCTGGGATCATGACCTGAGCCGAAGGCAGAGGCTTCACCCACTGAGCCACCCAGGCGCCCCTCCTTCTCGCTTTTGTATTAGGCGAAAAGAGAGACATCGGCTACTTTGACAACCTTAAACCGAACGCCAGGAACGTCACTGACAGCGTGACCTTTGTGGCCAAATCCAGCAACCAGAACCTCATCATTCTCCTCAGTAAAATTCAAACTACCATCCTTGGGTACAAAGGCTGCGACTTTTTTGCCATTCTTGATCAGCTGGACCCTGACATGTTTCCTGACGGCAGAATGTGGCTGCTGGGCTTCAAACCCTGCTTTTCCGAGCACAATTCCCTTTGCACTGGAAGCGCTTCCAGACGCGTTGGCCCCCAGGGCTGTGCCCAAAGGGACCTTCTCATACCATTTATTGTGCCACCTCTGATCTCGCAGGCCACGGAGCTTCCAGGCAGTACGAAAACTAGGACCATTGCCCATCCTGCTGGCCCCACAGGCCTGAGTGAAAGTGACCACACCCTCCCATTTCTTTCCCAGATCGGGTCCATTCTGCTTCCTGACTGTTCCCCCAACGGCTAGCCTCACAATGCAAGCAGCTGCTGTGGACCATGAAGGTCAAGCTGTGCTTAATGCCCGGGAAGAGTTGACCCCCCTTCTGGAGTAATCCAGTAGCCAGAAATTTGGAGGGCAGGGACTGGCCAGGAGGCTCTTCCCTGCCATTAGATCCAAGAACCCGTCTTAGACCCACGACCACGGGGGGCTCCAGTCCTGAGTCTTCCTGACCATGTAATTTGTTACCCCAAGTAAAAGCCTCTGAGTCCTTCTCTGACCTGGCCCAACTCACCTATAAGATCCTGTGGCCACTTTGTCACCATCTACCATTAGGAACGTTGATGACAGGGTCCCCTTGATCTTCCCCATGGGCATGTAGAAGCCAACACCTGTTACAGAGCGGACACGGATGTTCTGTTGAGAAGAGTGGAAAGGCACTGTCACTCATGAGACTGGGAGCCAAGTTTTGTGTGGGCAGAGAAGGAACCCTTTTGTCCGTGGAGCCCTGCCTGTTGGTTCCCGTCTATGCTAGACTCTACTTCCCACAGGTGTAGAGGTAGAACCCCATGTGGAGAGCAAGAGGAAGTAAGCAGATCTTGCTTTGGGCATAGATGAGCCCAAGGTGGTTCCTGCCTGCTCCCAAAGCTCCCTGGAAGAGAACCATAGCCCTAGCTTTGATCCTGACAGTGACTCTGCAGGGTGAGCACCCCAGGACTGGGCCAGAGCTGCCTCCTTAACCTCAATAGTCTTGAGATAAAATTTAAGCTGGGCGTGTAAGTTAGGGTTATCAATTCTCAAGGCAAGGTTTTAGACAGAAAGGTGTTGAACTCTTGCCCGAACTGGGCAGAGGATGGGGGCAGAGGCAGCCTCCATCTCATCTCTTGCCCCTCTTCCCTCCACCCTCCACCCCTACCCCAGTGGTACAACTTACCCGAATGCGGAAGTTGGTGAGCTCTAGGCCCTGACACATTTCCAAGAAAAACTTCACGCCTGCCTCATCCAGGATGATATACACCGGGACCCGGCGCTTAAAGGCAGCATCCACAATGTCTTGGAAGATATCGCTGTCAGTGAAGAAGTCCATGACCACCGCAATGACCTGGGTGGGGAAGGGTGACTAGTGAGGCATAGGGTGACTCCGTCTCTGTAGTGATACACACTGTGGCCCAGAGAGGACTAGCTGGGCCTATGTAACCAGAGGCCAAGAGCCAAACACCCCATCTGCACCACTCCTGGGCTCTCCACGTCCCACCCAGCTCTGAGCACATCTGAGCCCGGAGATGGGCTCTCTGCCCTGAGAAATGCCTGGGGGTCCAGGCAGGCTATGCTCTTTGTGCTTCATCCTTGATAAATCCCCACTACCCCACCCTGGGCATTCTCTAACAGCTCTTCAGAAGCCACGTCAGGGAGATCTAGGAGGTTGAGGAAAGTTGGTCCTAGTGGCCCAGGGAAACAAGTAGGCTTAAGAAGAGGAAGTCACTGAGAAGCATGGGATGGACTCATTTTCACCACCTGCAAATCTGCTCAAACCCCTTTCTCTGCCAGCCTGGGTGCTTTGATCTCCCTAGAGCTGTGCATGGTCCCATCCTCCTGTTGGTGTGGATTCAGGTAGAGCTCCAGGGAGCTCAAACTCTCCTGGCCTCCAGGTGGCTGGGTCATCTCACACCACCCTCAAGTCAAGGTCACTGCCTAGGACCCTTGGTTTCTAAAAGCCTGTCCTGAAGCTCTGTCATGGAAGGTGAGGTTTTCAGCTTGAGGCAGATCTGCCTTTCTGACCTTAGCCTCTTCATTTTCCTATGCAAACCTTCGTCTGCTCCAGTGGCAGGGTTTTCTTGCAGGCCCCAAGCATTGTGCGTGTGATGCAGAGCAAAGGGCATGCTTTGGGGTCAACGGATCTGGTTATATCGACTTCCTATGTATGTGACCTCAGGCAAGTCACTTAACCTTGGTGAGCCTCTGCTTCCTCATCTGCAAAGTGGGGATACCCTTTACCCTGTACTTTCGTTTTGCCATTGAGATTAGATAACAACTGTAAAGCATCAAATACAATGCCTGGCATGCAGGAAGTCATAAATAAATGGTAATCACTGTACGGTTGAGGGCTTCTGTTAGCTGTTGCCACTGGAAGCCTGAACTCTGAAGTCAGACAGACTAGGCCTAGTAGACCAGCTCCACCATGGACTCACCAGTACCCTAGCTAGTAACAGGACCTATCTCAAAGGGCTGTTGTGAGGCCTTAGGGAGACAAACCATGAGAGCACTGAGCACAGTGGTAGGCTCAACAGTGGTATCCTCCATCCCCACTACCCTCACACAAGTGCTCTACCCTCCCCCCACCTCTAAAGAACCGCCCCCTCCATTCACACAATATTGTTTATAACTGTTCTTGGCTCCCACATTTCATACTCAATCATCCATACAAGTTAAAATTTACTGGGCCCCAGAAGCAGAGGGGGGATCTATAGACAAACTTTAATCCCTAACTTCAAGGGGTTAATCCCATTGGAATGATAAGCCATTTGCACTAAGTAAGACGTGAAGCAAAATGAGATAAATGCTTTAAGAGAAGTACAAGTGATCTGTGAGGTGAGTTCAAAGTCGGAAGGGGGTGTGGGAGGATGGGCGGCAAGAGGGAGGGAGACTGAAGGATTGTTTCTAGCCAGAGAAGAAATTCTTAAGAAAGGCTTCATCAGGGAAGCTAACACCTGAAGAATGGGCAGCCTCCAGGACCAGGAGAAATGAACAGGGAGGAAAACCGAGCCGGCAAGTGGGCGGGGCTGCCACGCGTGGGTATGCGGGTTGTGCACTGCACATGGGCTCTGGGCTGAGGGTGTGAGTGATAGATATGCCTGCCTGAGGAAGGGATAGCTTTTTCTAATCTGAACACCGCATCCACAGGGGCTAGCAGAAGCCTATGAGGCGGGTGTTTCTGGCAAAGAACACATCGTAAACAAAGGCACTAAAGACAGGGACTAACAGGCACCGCACGCTTTCCACGTGCCCCACACTGAATTTTCTAATTTGATCCTCAAAATAAGGAGGACTATTCTCATTTTACAGATGAGGAAGTAAATGCAAAGGGGCTTAATGATGTGCCCAAGGTCTTACAGTTAACATGTAGCAGAGCAGGGATTTGAACTCAAGTCTCTCCGACTCTGTAAGGTATTTTAGAAACATCATATCAAAAGCTGGTTCTTTAAAAAGACCAAAAAAGATAGACAAACTTCTGACAAGGCTGACAAAAACAGGGAATGCAGATAAAGTGCTGAGTAAAAACAGAAATAACCACACACATATTTACTTTTTAAGAAATCATATTATTTAAGAAATAGTAAAAACGACAAAAAAAATATTAGGACTATTTACATACTGATGAATTTGAACGTGAGAATGACATAGTTAAGTCATTAAAAGCAAATTAAACATAATACAGCATAATCCTGTAAGGTTTATTCTGGAAATACAAGGATGATTAATCTGTTCTTTTATTTTATAACATTTATGGGGTCAAGGTGGAGAAATCATATATTATTTTAATAGGTTTTTTAGAAGTATTTGATAACATGGGGCACCTGGGTGGCCCAGTGGGTTAAGCGTCTGCCTTCGCCTCAGGTCATGATCCTAGAGTCCCAAGATGGAACCCTGCGTTGGGCTCCCTGCTCAGTGGGGAGTCTGCTTTTCCCTCTGCCCCTCATCCCGCTCATACTCTCTCTCAAATAAATAAATTAATAATATCATTTTAAAAAAAGTATTTGATACATGAGATCCCTACTTGTGATTAAAATTCTCAAAAAACTAGCAATAGAAGGGACCTTCTATTCCTTAACTTGATAACAGCTATCTATAAAAAACCCACATGAGGGGCGCCTGGGTGGCTCAGTGGGTTAAGCCTCTGCCTTCGGCTCAGGTCATGATCTCAGGGTCCTGGGATCGAGCCCGCATCGGGCTCTCTGCTCAGCGGGGAGCCTGCTTCCTCCTCTCTCTCTCTGCCTGCCTCTCTGCCTACTTGTGATCTCTGTCAAATAAATAAGTAAAATCTTAAAAAAAACAACCACATGAAAAAAAAAAAACAACCCACATGAAACATACTGAACAGAAAAACGTTAGGTGCATTCCCTTCAAGTCCCAAGAATGTCAATAATACTTTCACCGTTGCTCTGGTGGAAAAAGTACTGGAGGTGCTGACCAATGCAATATGACAGAGAGACACGAATAAGAAGAAACAAAACTACCAGTATTTGGAGATGATTTTTAATTTTTTTAAGTAGGCTCCATGCCCAGTGTGGAGCCCAACGTGGGGTTGGAACTCATTACCCTGAGATCAAGACCTGAGCTGAGATCAAGAGTCAGATGCTTAACAACTGAGCCACCCTTAGAGATGTTATTTTTAGAGAAAACCCAGTAAAATGTAGGTGAACATTATTAGAATTAACAGGGGAATTTAGCAAGATAGCCAGATACAAGAAAAACTAACAAAGGCCTAGAGCACTTTTACACTACAGTAGTGATCAACTTAAAAAGGGGGGTGGGGAGAAAAAAAATAAGATCAACATTGAAATTTTAAACACATAGGATTTAAGAATTAATACCTTTATTGAGAAATTTAGAAATCTCTATTCAAGGATATTTTAAAATATGTGAATAAATGAAGAGATAAATTGTGTTCATGGATAACACGATTCAATATTTGAAAAATCAAATTCTCACCATATTAATAAAATTCAATGCAATTCCAATGAAAGTCCAGTCAGTATTTCTGAGGAACCCAAATAATTCTAGGATGTAAGGAAGGATACAGATCTACAATAGCTAAGTCAATTTTGAAAAAGAAAAACTGAGAGGCACCTGGGTGACTCAGACAGTTAAGTGCCTGCCTTCGGCTCAGGTAACGATTTCCCAGTTCTAGGATCGAACCCCGCATTGGGCTTCCTGCTCAGCAGAAATTCTTCTTCTCCCTCTGCCTCTTCCCACTGCTTGTGCCTGTTCTCTCTCTCACATGAATAAATAATCTTAAAAAAAAAAAAAAGGAAAAGAAAAGCTGAGAGGTGACACTTTTCCTACCAATAGTAAGACATACTGCGGAGCCATAGTAATAAGATTGTGGTACTGAGGCAGGAAGGAAATGAAAAACAAACCAGTGAACAGAACTATGTACCATGAACATATAGAACTTAAAGTCTGACAGAGGCAGAATTACAACTCAGTGGACAAAGGATGTTGCTTAGCAGATGTAACTGGGATACTGGGTTACTCGAGAGAGAGAAAGGGTATCCCTGCCTCACACCGTATGTATATAAAGGTGAATTTCAGGTAGGTTAAATACCTAAATGTGAATGATAAAACTAATAAAGGAATTGATAAGATAGGATTTCTTAAAAGTCTAAAAGCACAAGTTTAAGGCAAATGAAATTCAAAAAATAATGCATTTGGGGCACCTGGGTGGCTCAGTTGGTTAAGCGTCTGCTTTTGGCTCAGATCATGATCCTGGAGTCCCGGGGGTCGAGCCCCATGTCAGGCTCCCTACTCAGCAGGGAGTCTGCTTCTCCCTCTGCCCCTCAACCACTCATGCTCGCTCTCTCCTCTCTCTCTCATAAAATCTTAAAAAAAAAAAAACCAATGCATTTGACAAATTAGGGATTTTCTGTTCAAAGGAGGATGCTGTAGATAAAGGCAACTGATTGACGACAGGGAAAAGATATCTGTAATGTCTACAACCAAATGGAATTAATAATATACAAGGGATCCCTGTGAACCAGCAAGAAAAAGACAGGGAGCTAATTAGAAAAATGGGCAAAGAATATGAATAGGCGACTCCGAGAGGAGATACCTGAATGGCTAATAAGTATAAAAAGAGAAGCAGACCTCATAGTAATCAGAAAAATTCAAATTAAAGCAAAGTGATAAGAGTGAGAGAGATACCACCTTACAACTATAATATTCACTAAAAATGTGAAAGCTGGCTAATCCCAAGTACTGGAATGTGAGGGCAGGGGAACCCGTGTGGGCGGCCGGTGGAGAGAACACAGGTACCGCTATTCCCTTCAGCAGTGGGCAGAGCGTGGTGGATTTAAGAATGTGCATAACTCAACTCAGCAATGC